ATACAATGGAAAGTTAACCAGGGGAGGAGAGGATATGTACAAAAATAATGTCCACAGAAGGGACAAATAACAAAGGGAAAGACGGCCAGGCGCGGTGGTTTATGGCTATCATCCCAGCACTTTGGGAGGCCAAGGCGGGCGGATCACGAGGTCAGGAGATCGAGACCATCCTGGCTAACATGGTGAAACTCTGTCTCTACTAAAAATACAAAAAAATTAGCCGGGCATGGTGGCAGGCGCCTGTAGTCCCAACTACTCGGGAGGCTGAGGCAGGAGAATGGCGTGAACCCAGGAAGCTGAGCTTGCAGGGAGCCGAGATCGCACCACTGCACTCCAGTCTGGGAGACAGAGCGAGACTCCGTCTCAAAAAAAAAAAAAAAAAAAAAAAAAAAAAAAAAAAAAAAAGCGGGGGCGGGGGGAAAAGGCCAGGAAAGGGTTGAGGCATTAACCCTTACAATGCAGATACACACTGGGCTGGTCTAAGAAATAGGTTTCCCTGGTAGACAGAAGGTTAAATAAATTTTCCTGGTTATTCTGATACAACTCCAATAAAAGAAGAGAAATGAAGCTAAAACTTAAAATGATGTCTTTAAAAGGAAGAAACTTTAACCCATTCGTAGGTGAGCTTCTGCCAAGATTATTACTAATCCTCAGGAGAAGGGGTAGAGGAGAAACTCCACAAAGGCAACTGGAAGTGGAATATTAGGAAGCGCCTCATGAACACAATAGCAGAAGTAGCTAGAAAACAAAGAGAAGAGGCCTGGCGCGGTGGCTCAAGCCTGTAATCCCAGCACTTTGGGAGGCCGAGACGGGTGGATCACGAGGTCAGGAAAGCGAGACTATCCTGGCTAACACGGTGAAACCCCGTCTCTACTAAAAAATACAAAAAACTAGCCGGGCGAGGTGGCGGGCGCCTGTAGTCCCAGCTACTCGGGAGGCTGAGGCAGGAGAATGGCGTGAACCCGGGAGGCGGAGCTTGCAGTGAGCTGAGATCCGGCCACTGCACTCCAGCCTGGGCGACAGAGCGAGACTCCGTCTCAAAAAAAAAAAAAAAAAAAGAAAACAAAAAGAAGAAACCAGAAAAAAAATTCCCTTTTTATTTTTCTGTTTCCATTCCTTTTGCTGCATTTCCACAGCTATGGCCTTTGTTTCACGCTCCACAGCCATGAGAGCCTCTGGGCAGGACCTCTCCTCACATCTCCTGGTTCCGATCACCTCTAACATTTCTGCCTATCGTTCTGCCCAGGGAAAAAACTCCAGTCTCTTCTTTGACAAAGACCTCTTGAATGAAGTCCAAATGCTACACTCTGGCATTCAAGACTGCATAGTACAGCTCAACCTCATTTTTCCACCCTTAGTCTCCTTGATTCCTAAAATGAAGCCTGTCCACAATTGAAGCTCCTTGTCTTTGCTCCTGCAAACTTGTTAATTCTCTTGGCTGTGCTTGTGCCGGTCTCTGTCTATCTAGAGCTGTGGATATCATGGTATCTATTGTCTATCATGGTAGCCATTAACCACGTGTGTCTGATGAGCATTTTATATGGCACTAGTCCAAATTGAACTCCACCATGAGTGTAAAAATATGCATCATGTTTTGAAGAATGTACACAAAATTTAATTATCTCATGAATAATTTTATATTGGCTATATGTTGAAATTATAATATTTTGGATATATTGTGCTAAATAAAACATATTATTAAAATTAACTTCACTTGTTTTTTTTATTCTTTCAATATGTCTACTAGAGCTTTGTAAATTGCATATGTGACTTTATTGGACAGTACCAGTTGAATGCCCTCAACCACGTCACCTCACCACAGCCATCTCTACCTGTAGTGATCACACCAATTCTTTAGGCACACTGCCTGCATTTAGGGCAATGAATACCCCCTCATCTTCTCCACTAGATGTAGTTTCTTTTTTCTTTGAGAGCCATCATCACCACCATGGTTGACATCATGAACCTATCTGAAGATGTCAGCCATAGTCTGCTTGATATTCTACAGGAAAGACCACAGTTTTAAATGCAATCTACCCATGTTATTAGCAGTGTGTATCTTGGGCACATTACACAGCCTTTCTAAGCCTCATTTCCCTCCTGTGTAAGATGGGGATGATAATAACCTATCTCAAATGTTTACTATGAGGATTATTCAAAGAATGGCAAATAGTAAGTGCTCAATAAATGATAACTAGTACTACTGCCACTACTGCTGTTTTTATTGTATTAGATTATGAACTCTCTAAGGACCATTTCAGGATGGAGGATCAGAGGCCATTTGATGTGGGCAGTGATGAGGCCTTCAGTTGCACCTAGAAAGGTCAACTCTATACAAGCCTGCAAGTCATTCTGTAGGAGCAGGCCCCAGTGACCCGACTCTTCGGACTGTCTCCTCTTTCCTGAGAGGGACGGCCATCTCTAGGTTGACTAACCTCTGAAGCTCCTTGCAGTGGCTTTTGTGCTATGAGCCATGGATGATTCCAGACTAATCTGAGAATGCTTTTCAAAACCCCAAGGAATTACTCAATCACTGACATAACAGACATTTTTGAGTGGAAGAGCCGAGATTTTTTTTGATATTTGAAAACTCATTGTTTTTAAAATGCATGAGATGGCCAAGGTCTTGCTAAGAGCTGGCCTGCAAAGGCCAGAAGGCCAGAGAGAATGAAACCCATAGAGAGGCAGAATAACCAGAAAGGTTGGGACTCGTTTATTTTATAATGTAAATTAGTCTATTATGAAACAATACTTGTTTACTGGTAGAAAATTGGAAAATACAAAGAACATAAGGAGGAAAAAAATCACTCTTTAGTTTCACAAGCCAAATCAAGCCACTATTAAAATGGTGGTTTACTTCCTTTTATTAATTTTCTCTACATATTTTTGTAGAGTCATATTGTATGTACAATTTTATATTCTATTTTTCAATATTAACTGGTATCTTTCAAATTTCCTAAGGAAAAAATAATATATGCTCATAATAGAACATTTTAAATGCAAATAAAACAAAATAAATGTTAACATTTAGTAACATTTATTAAATTTTCTCAAAGTGCACTAAATTACAAATGTAACAGCCTAATTCCCTAGTAGCCTAATAACCCTGTTTCCCAGACCTCTTCTTATTACAAGGAAAAACTCACATACAGATAGTTCTAAAGGCATGAAGTGAAAAGGTGAAGATTTTTCTTCCTTGCTGCTTCCTCACCCCGTCAGCATTATTCTCCAGGGTAACTACTATTAATAGATAGTAATTCTACCCAAAGGAAAAAAACATATGCATATAACAGCATCGTATGTATACCTTTCTAGTAACTTACAAAACAAATGAAAATATCATATCCTTTCTTATATGTATTGCTCTTTTCACTAAATGTATCTATGATATGGGTCTGTATCAGCTGATTGTCCTTTTTGATGGCTGAATAATATTTCATCTTGTCTACATGATAGTATTACTTGACAAGCTCCCTACTGATGGACATTTGTCTTCTTTACTATGATAGTAATATAATAAACATTTATATATGTTTTGTATGTATCTATAATACACACGCACATACACATGCATACTTCTGCAGGGATAGCCATAGGTAAATAACTAGTAATGGTATTGCAAGTTAAAGGAACAATTTCATTGCTTGAAATTTTAAATTCTGAAATACACTGCCAATTTTCATGGTCTCTCCTTGTCAGCTAGTTTGGGCTTTCTCAAAGCACGACAGGCTCAGGGCAGTCAGACCATCCTGGCCAAAGGCTTCAAGAGCAGAGTGTCACAGACCACAAATGCTTCTAATCAGCCATCTTCCCAAAGCCTTCTCTTTTTTCTAGTAATAAATTTATATGAGATTCCATCTCAGTACTTTTCTGTTGTTTGGTCTTATAAGAGCTTATTTTTCCTGAACCAGGAAGTGGTTCAGGGTGGTTTTTCTAACTTCACAGAGCTCCCTCTTCTGTCAGCTTCTGTGAAATGGTCAAAAACATAGTAGCCTGCCTTCTGAGTTCTCCATCCCACCCTGGTTGGAGCTTCTCTATCCTTGTCTCTGTTGTTTATATCCTGCTGAAGTGTGATTCCACTTGTGGCAGTTTCTCCTCTGTGTAGGATCCTATCCAAAAGGGGCTGTGACTGGTTGATTTGAAAATTTCTTATACCCTAGACTATTCCAGTGCCTTTCACAAGTTTCCAAGGCCCTCTCACAGTAACCTATTATCATATTCGGCAAAACTCCTTCTAGTTTCAGCTACTATTCCCTGATTGGCTTTTCAGTAAATCTAGGTATCTCTCAGTCTCTCAGTATCCAAAGAAGATTGGTTCTAGGATCACCATCCTGCTGCCTCAACAGAATGAGAGGATGCTCAATTTCCTTATAAAATGATGTGGTATTTGCATATAATCTGCACACATATTTCTGTATATTTTAAATCATCCCTAGATTACTTATAATACCTGATACAATATAAATGCTATATAAATAGCTGTAATACTGTATCTTTAAAATTTACATTATTTTTGTTGTTGTATTATTATTTTTATTGTATTTTTAAAAAATATTTTCCATCTACAGTTGGTAGAATCCACGGGTACAGAACCCATGGATAGGGAGGACCAACTTTATCTTTTGGCTGTTTTGAGGTTCTTGAATTCTCAGGCCATTTGCTTTCCTTTGTTTTCTCCCAAGTCTTTTTTCACAATTTGCTTTAGTCATTCACTGAAACTTTAAAAAACATTAGAAAATCTTACTGTTTGTATATCTTTTTTTCTAATATATATAATATAAGATAGGAGTTTAAATAAAGAGTTTTAGAAACTACTACATATGCAAATGACATAGGAAAACTGAAAGGGAGAACTGAAAGTGGGAAATTCCTCTGAATAGAGAGAGGACCAGGTCATATAAATAGGCCATACCCATGGAGAAAGGACATTCTAACTGCAAACTTTCGAAGCCTTCGCTCTGGCACAACAGGTAGTAGGCGACACTGTTCCTGTTCTCATCATGACCAACAAGTGTCTCCTCCAAATTGCTCTCCTGTTGTGCTTCTCCACTACGGCTCTTTCCATGAGCTACAACTTGCTTGGATTCCTACAAAGAAGCAGCAGTTTTCAGTGTCAGAAGCTCCTGTGGCAATTGAATGGAAGGCTTGAATATTGCCTCAAGGACAGGATGAACTTTGACATCCCTGAGGAAATTAAGCAGCCGCAGCAGTTCCAGAAGGAGGACGCTGCATTGACCATCTATGAGATGCTCCAGAACATCTTCGCTATTTTCAGACAAGATTTATCTAGCACTGGCTGGAATGAGACTATTGTGGAGAACTTCCTTGCTAATGTCTATCATCAGATAGACCATCTGAAGACAATCCTAGAAGAAAAACTGGAGAAAGAAGATTTCACCAGGGGAAAATTCATGAGCAGTTTGCACCTGAAAAGATACTATGGAAGGATTCTGCATTACCTGAAGGCCAAGGAGTACAGTCACTGTGCCTGGACCATAGTCAGAGTGGAAATCCTCAGGAACTTTTTCTTCATTAACAAACTTACAGGTTACCTCCGAAACTGAAGATCTCCTAGCCTGTGCCTCTGGGACTGGACAATTACTTCAAGCATTCTTCAACCGGCAGATGCTGTTTAAGTGACTGATGGCTAATGTACTGCATATGAAAGAACACTAGAAGACTTTAAAATTTTTATTAAATTATGAGTTATTTTTATTTTTTATTTAAACTTTATTTTGGAAAATAAATTATTTTTGATGCATAATTCAACATGGCAGTTTTAATTTCATTTTGATTTATATAACCATCCATATTATAAAATTGCTGAGTACCTATTAGTTGTTCTTTTTAAAATATACCTGCAAAGTAGTATAGTTTCTGGCCCCTGCCTTTAAGGAATGTAAAATTCAAGAAAGCCATGTGGAATATACAAGGTAAGAGACAATAAGGGGACCTGATCCTTATGGGGGAATAAATATGTATGAATTGCTATGGGACTAAGAGAGAAGAGGCAAGCAGGAGGGTCTGGAACTAAACCTGGGCTTCCCATTGCTCCTACTGTGTGCTCCAGATTCTCTGCTCATAAAGTTAGAATTGAGCTGGCCATCAGGAATAGCCAGAGGAATATGTCAGCTTTTGTGTTCTCCCTAACCTCCCCATGTTATCTGGGGGATACTTTGCTCCTGGAAAGATTTTAAAATAATTATGTGCTCCCCACCATCCCTGCAAGCTTAAGTGTGAGAAGTCCCACTTACTTCCATGACACTATTAAGCAGCAATCTCTTTATTCTGCTTTTCATGGGACAGCCAAGATGTGTGGGTATCTTAGGGGAGCGTGGGTCTCTGTCTGCTGGTATGGCACAGGCATCAGAGGAAGAACCACCCTTTTTATACCCTAGCCATGTGATTAGTTTTCTCCCCATTTTTTCAAAAAAGTAAGTCTGCTTCCGGTCCCCACTGCCTTGTTCATACAGAATTCCAGGTATGTCCTGTCCAGTTTCTGTCACTCTGCATTGCGGACGCCACATAGTCCCTAAAGCCAAATGAAAGGTGCAGCAGTTTAAGTCTGGCTTCAAACCAAGCAAAAAGCCAGGGAACATAGGAGAAAGGGAAGTTTAGGTGGGATAGAGAGGGCATTAATTTTTCCCAGGGCTTACATCAGGAAAACATCAAGGTTTTCTAGGAGCTCTTTGGGCACCTGGTCAGCATGGGCCGACTGGTTAGGTTTTTGTCTTTGTACCGAAACTCAGGAACTTGGGTTATAATGGCGATTACTGCCATTAACAGTTGCTGTTTACTGAGAGATTCTAATGAAATAGGCACTGTGCTGAGCTCCTATGTAGGTAATTGGACTTAATCTTCTCCACAAGCACCCCTCAGGTAGGCACAAGTACGTTATTGCCATTTTACAGGAGAGGAAACTAAATCTCAAAGAAATTTAGTAACTGCCTATGGTCACATAGTGATTTCATTCACTCTCTAGTAGAGTGGAGATTTAAAAAAGAAGTTCAAAGGGAAGAATCATAAAAGCCTTTATTTGTATCTGGGCATTTTTTCCTAGAGCAGTATAGAAATCTGAGTTCCTTTTAAAAGAAGCAGCTTTCAGGAGAAGTAATCTGTTCATTATGAGTTCCAGACAAGCTACTATTGTATAGACAATGAACTCAAGTCTCCCCCTTCCGGTTCAAAGCGGGTAGCACACGGGCTATGCAAACAAGAAATGTCATCCTGCGGGGCCTGCTGCCATTGACTCAAACCAGTCAAGCCCCCCTCAAGCTTCACTCTTCCCCCAGCTCTCCACACCGGCTCTGCCAAAAGCCCTTCTGTAGCCGAACTCCCCTTTTTCTAGGAGTCAAGGACAAGATGAGCAAGTAGCAATGCAGAGTCCAGGCAGTGTGTAGAGCAGCGAAGAGGAAGCTAAAGAAATCTCTCTCAGCAAGGGGCCCCTATTGTCTGCTGCTTTCTCTGGGCTAAACTGCTAAACTGGCCCAGAAACTGGCAAGTTCTTGAAAAGACCTGCTGTACCTCCATGAGGGGACAAGAATGACAGGAGAGAGGCCACTTCTGCAGAATTAGAAATACTGTGTCACAGCTTAGCATGTCAGCCCATCCAGAATGCCAAAAATATGTCCATAACCAGTAGAAGATAAATAACAATTAAAATTAATTCCAATAAAAATGAAGGCGACTAGCCCAAAGGTGTACATTTGCATGTGCTGAACTGATGACTAGGCATGAGGAACAAAGTAAAATAATAATATTATTTTGGCTGGCACCAGAATACCTCGTAAGAAAAACACTCTTTGTTTAGAAAAATATCTAATGCGTCTGTAGAAAAATATCTAATGAGGCTTCACTCAATATCTAGTGAGATCTTGAGGTTATGGGTGTGGCAACAGAAAAGACAGTAAAATACTAATAGCACATTTTGTGTGTCAGCTTGCTTTTAAGGAGAAAGGAGACAGACAGAAATCCCCCAAAGCTCTGGAACTGTGACACTACTTGGAACAAGGCAGACAGTGAAAACCTCTGCTGGTGGGGATGAAAAAAGAACTTTTCTGAACAGGGTAGCTTATGTGCGGAGTGAAATTGTGTATGCTGATGTGTTGAAAATCTGTCCGCCATCATCTCCAAAACTTCAATAAAAATGGCTCCCACGAAAAGTCTTTATGTGCATAGAACTTCCGTGTACAAATCACAGAAAGTGCCCGGGCTCATCTTTGAAATAGTATGGGGTAAAAAACATGGGGTGGCCAGACCTTCATAGATAAACCAAATTAGAAGAAACAGAAGGCAAAACAATGACAACAGAGCCACCTTACCCCTTCCCAAGTCACACCTTAGGAATCCACAGAGCTGGATTAGGAGAAGGAGCTGTCTTATTAGCTCTTGAGCAGTAAGAAGGCGCTGGTGAACATCTGGGTTCCATATAAATATTTGAATTTTGCTTAAAATTGCCATACAGATGCAGGGTGGTATCAGCACACATTTGTATCATCTTTTTTGCCATCAACAAAGTTGTTATTTAGGCATTTTAGGTGGCATTAAACACGTTCAAGTATTCAGATAACATCTGATCAGGAATTTATTCATAAAATACTCTTAAGAAAATGAAAAGAACATGCCACAAACTGGGAGAAGGTATTTGCAAATCATATATCTGATAGAAGACTTGTCTCCACAATGTATTTTTTAAAATCTCTGAAAACTCAATTAAAAAACACTAATAAAATAATAAAATAAATAATAAATAAAATAATAAAAATGGATAATATATTGGAACAGATGCTTCATCAAAGACATGCAAATAGCAAATTAGTATGTTAATATGGTAAAAGCTTTCTCAAGGATTGTTGTTGGTGTAGGTCAGATAGCGAATGTGAAATGATTTGACTCCAGGGGAGCCCTTTCCACCATGAGGACCTGCCATAGCTTCTGTCCTTTCTGAGCAAAGTTAACCAGCCCTCTTAGACAAGCTCTATTTCTGATGCATGAGAGGTCTGCCAAGCAGAGACTGTGGGGGCCCTAATCAACATGGATTTCTTCTTGGCTGGTTTGGCTGTGGGACACACAGAGAGAGCCAGCAGTTGGTAACAGAGTCAGAAGATGAATGTCACCCAGAACCATACCTTGTTGATTGCAAACATTTTCTCTAAACACATTGCCCTGGTGCTTGTTGAGTCTAAAAAATGAACTGTTTTATGAATCCCTTTGTTCTCAACATTAATTGTTGCTTTTTAAACATTAGTTTAATTGCCTAAAATTTACTAGGATAGTTTAAGACAAACTCAAAAATTGGACTAGAAGTACCAGCACAAAATTATACTCTCCTAATTTAGAATCAAGTTAACAACTTAACTCGTTAATTGACCTGATGGAGAGTACTCCAAAAACATGTTCACATCACCAAATCAGACAATTATGTTTCAATTGTTATTCTGTTTTGACATTCACATGGAGGGTGTTCCTAGAAACCTATAATGCATTATTCAAATTATATCCCCCAACAATTAGCCTATGAATTTTTAAAAAATGGAATCCACTTCAAAAGACTCTCTTAAGAGGATTAAAAGACATGTCACAGACTGAGAGAACATATTTGCAAGTCACCTCTCTGATAAAGAAGTTCTATTGATACATAAAGAATTCTCAAGATTCAATGATAAGAAAACAAATAACCCAATAAAAGACAGACAAAAGATTTCAACACATATTTTAGGAAAGAAGGTACAGAGATGGCAAGCAAGACAGGAAAAGACAAATATCTTAACCTTTAATAATGCAAATTAAACAACAATAAGACACTGCTACATACTTATTAGAACAGCTGAAGTTAAAAGGACTCACCATATCAAGGATTGGAAAAGATGTGGAGCAACTATAACTTTCAAAAAATGGTTCAATGACTTTGGAAAACCATTTTTGCAGTTTATAAAAAAGATAATCATATACCTATCGCATGATCCAACCAGTCAACTCCCCAGTACTTATCCAAGAGAAAGAAAGGATGTCTCTATACACAGACTTGTATATGAATGTTTGTGGGCACTTTATTTGTCTACCACAAATGAATGATTAAAGAAATTGTAGTATATCCATACAATGGAATATTATTCAACAATAAAAAGGAATGAATCATTGATACACACAATAACATGGATGAATCTCCAGAAAAAAGTATGCTGAATATAAGAAAATAGGGCCAGGCACAGTGGCTCACGCCTGTAATCCCAGCACTTTAGAAGGCCGAGGCAGGCAGATCACCTGAGGTCAGGAGTTCAAGACCAGCCTGGACAACATGGTGAAACCCCATCTCTACAAAAATACAAATATTAGCCAGGCATGATAGCAATTGCCTGTAATCCGAGCTATTCAGGAGGCCGAGGCAGGAGAATCACTTGAACCCGGGAGGTGGAGGTTGTAGTGAGCGAAGATTGCACCACTGCACTCCAGTCTGGGTGACAAGGGAGACTCTGTCTCAAAAAACAAGGAAAGGGAAAGGAAGGGAAGGGAAAGAAATGAAGGGAAGGGAAGGGAAGGGGAATAAATTTTCTATTGGCCTATT